GCTCTTAGCTCTGACCTCTTGGCTTTCTTCTTTGCATTGGTTCTGTGTTTCTTATTTAATAAGATGGTTACTTCTACACAGGTAAGTTCCTGTGACAGGAGCATGACATGACTGGTTGCATTGTGTTCACAATTAGAAAGCAGAGAGGCATAAATTCTAGTACTCAGCTTGCTTTGTCCATTTTTTTTTCTGCTGTCCAGGAATATAATCCCAGGAATGTCAGCCACATTTAGGGTGGTCTTCCCACTTCAGTCAACCAGATTGATTCAGAAACTGTCTTGTAGACATATCCAGAGGTTTGTTTCTATGATGATTCTGATTTTAAGTCCTTTCAACTTGAACAATCAAGATTAACCATCACAAATAATTAGATGTCTCCATGCTCCCAAGCTTACTGGATTTGCATGGAATGGGGCACAAGTTTCTTAAGACACCCTTTTCTTTGCCCTTCTCTCCTCTAAACAGTACTAAAGACAAGAAACACATACAGCCTTCTAAATGAGTAATTAATCAAAATTGAATACTCAGTCCCTAATCTATACTATACTATCTGTAGTTCATGTGACCAATGGATACATGTGGCTATTGGTTGCAATACTGGCCAGTACAGAATATGTCCATCAGTATCCATTTCAACAGTGAATACAGGTCATTAAGAAGGGCAGAGAGGCAAATGGAGACATATATATATGTCCTGCATAGGAAAAGGACAAAATATATCCTCTGCGGGCTTAATAATATACTAGAGAAGAGAAATTATAAGCAGGAAGGATATTCAGGAGTACTCAGAGAGCCAGGCACTACCTCTATATTTCTAGCATGGCCAAAATCTTTACACATCTCTCAGGACTCAGCAATTGGAGTATGTTCCAAGCTATATGGATATTAGTAATGACCTTTGTTAGAAGTTTATTGACCCATCCTCTTCTATGGAGTTGGATAAGACTGATTCCTCAGGCACAGGAAGAATCCACCAACAGTCTCAAAAAAGGCATTTCCTGCCAGATGGGTTCAGATTCATATCCAATTAGCAAATATGTTATATTTTGCTCACCAAAACTTACTAAAAATGATTACTGCCAAATATAAATCAATTAATCCACGATGATGCTATGTATGCATATCCATGCATATAACCTCTGGTGGTTTGAATGAAAATCCTCTCCTTAGGATCACGTGTTTGAATACTTGATCTGCAGTTGATAGGGCTGTTTCAGAAGGATTAGAAAGTGTGGCCTTATTGGAAAAAGTGTTTTTACTGGAGGAAGAATTTGTTGTTTTTTAAAAAAAACAAAACCTCATGCTATTCCTAGTGTACTCTCTGCCTTCTGCAGAGATGTAAACTCTCAGCTGCAACTCCAGCTGCCTGGCACCTTCACTGCTCTGCCACCATGAACTTTAACCTCCTAAAACCATAAGCCCCCAATAAACTTTCTTCTGCAAGCTGCCTTGGTCACAATAGAAAAGTAATTAAGGTATCACCAAATGAATATATTTATTCACACACACACATACATATGAATAAAATATGTAGCCATAAGTTAACCAGCAATATACTCTTATACACTTAAAAATGTCTGTGCATACATTGTGGTAGCCAGAGGTCAACCATGTGTCATCCTCAGGACTGCTTCCACCTCCTTTTAAGACAGTGTCTCTCATTAGCCTGGAGCTCACTGATTTGGACAGACCAACTGTATAGTGAACTTACATATCTATTTCTCTCTACTTCCCCAGAAATGAGATCACAGGCATAGGCCACAGTACCGAGTATGTTTATATAAGGTCTGGAGATGAACTCACTCAAGTCTGCTTCCCTACAAAACAAGCATCTTACAGGCACAGCCATACTCCCAGACATTGCTGCTTAACAACAACAAAAATTAAGAAAACAAAAAAGACTTTTAGATGTATCCATCAATTTACTCATGAATATTACTCATTTAAGATAAGATTGGCCTTGTTGGAAGGGTGCTGATATCTCAAAAAGACATGCACTACTAATATGTAGGATTATTTTAGCAATGTATGGTAGCTACTCTTAAATGTCTACTTGACCACATCTGCCATTAATTAAAACCCCAAAATGGAGGGCACACCTGTGAGAGATTTTTTGCTTAATTCAAAGTATGAAGATACACTTCCTTTTAATCCAGATCTTTGAGGCATGGATCTTGCCTTTAATCCAGGTCTTTTAAGATGAGGAAAGACACATCTTTAATGTAGATCTTTAATCCAGATCTAATCTGGGCCAAGCTTTCTGCTTGAAGTCTGTATAAGGATAAGCGAAAAGGAAGATTTTGCTCTTTGCCTGCTTGCCTTTGCCATTCTAGCATACCCATTCCTTCACTGGCATTAGGGCCCACTTCTTTGGAAGTCTGGAATATACTGAGGATCAGCTGAGACAGCCACCCTTGGTGACTGAGCAACTACTGAATTCTTCAGCTTTCTGTTCATGCCCAGCTATTGTTGGATTAGTTTGACTTCAGCCAGTAAGTCATTCTAATCAACTCCCAGTGTACATATATCCTGGAAACCAAAGCCATGCCTGGAGAACCAACAACAGACTCCATTGCAACCAACAGTGGTCACTGAGGAAGAACAGAGGTGATGCTTATTTCTGTCCATCCATCAGCCCAGTGGGCTCAGCCTTGGAAATGAGACATGAGCACCAGCTATCTGTTGGTCCAAATGCCCTCTATCTGGACCTAATGGGGATGTTTGGTTCCTAAGTCCACCATATCAATTTCACCAATACATTCATTCTTTAAACATGTTAAATATTCTTTATATCCTATTAAAATTTGAATATCCTTACTTAATATCCTTGCTTCCTTTTAGATGGTTTGAAAATGTCTAACAGTTAAATGCAAAAAACCTAGCAGGAGAAACTGTCTTTTCGCTATGAGTCAATTCTTTAGATATATCCATGCTATGTTTTAATAGGTCAGCTATACTAGCCTATGAAAACTTATTGCTAAATATTAAGAAATTTGGAGTGTTGGTTGTGAACTACAGTTACAATTAAGGCAAATTGTGTATACTTATAACCAAATATCATCTTAAAAACAAAGAAATGTATGATCAGATGAGGCAATGACTAAAGCCACATGTGTGTAAGCCTGATTACCTGAGTTTGATCCCTCAAACACAAAGAAAGGTGAAAAGAGAGAACAGACACCACAAAGTTGTCCTCTTACCTCCACACACCCACAAACATATATCATATATAAATATACAATAAAAGTAGTGATAAATAATTTTTAAAAATAAAAAAGAATATATACAAAACTCATAAGAAGCTAGGAAGATGGTTC